AACTAAATTTAAATATATATAAAAATGTAATACAATAAATATGATCAAGAGATATATACATTTACAATGTACATTGTTCATATATATAGACTATTCAGCTATCTGTTGTTTTTGTGGTTATTGTGTTGTCTGATTTGGCGGTTCGTTTCCCAAGTTTCGCTTGAGGAATTTGCGTAGCTTAGCCGGCAGCTCCTCCAGGGTAAGCGGTGCCATATGTGACATTGGTACCGCATTTTCCTTATCCTCCTCCGCTACCATGTCCACTTCCTCGTTCAAAGTATAAAGAAGCATATGTGCTGAATTCTGGGAACGCAAATGTCGAACTTCCGAGGACTTCACGTAAGACACTTCGCTGTCGTTAAACTTGATCCACCTGTGCTCCGCATCCCGGGCTAGTACATAATAATGTCCAGAGTCAAGGGAACTACCGACGTGTATTACAATAGCGTAAAGTCGATATAGCAGGATGGTGAATTGCTGCATTGCGTTGTCATATTGCTCCAATGATATCTATGAGAAAGGAAAGTGAAGATAGTTTGACAACTGAATATGGCATATTTTTAAAGAGATTTCTTGGACTGTGGGGCTTCTACGAGGTTGACCTAGCATAGCTCACCATTTACCGAACTAGAAATCAGGGATCAACCTGATGTTATTCACTAAGGGCTACTCAGAAGGATGCGTAGGTCATATCCTTAAAAGCTATTCCATATGAGATCAAGTTTTTACTGGCTTCTGTTGTAGTACAAGCTATCTTTTACATCTTCCCCTTCTCCCATCTGCCTTTTATCTACTTTATTCTTTGTAAATAATTATTTTTTATTTTCTTTTCATTAATTTTATATATATGTTTTTTCCCTATTCCTGTCTGGTTTCCTTTTATACCCTGAACCCATTGAAAATGGTAAATCAGGGTATAATAGTTTTGTGAAAAGTATGTAACAGGCAGAATCGCATACCCCATAAAGTATATATATTCTTGATTAGGACGACGAGCTGAGTCCGTCTGTCCGTCCGTCCGTATAAGCAAAAGGATCTCTGAATATATAAGAGCTGGAGAGCTGAAATTTGGCATGCATACTCGTGAATACCATAGGCTGTACAAGTTTATCTTATTTTTCGATAACTCATCCGATAACTTTTTTATCGAGAATAATCGCAAAATCGACAATGTTTTTTTTTAGCCTAATTTGAACACTTTTAGACCTGAAGACTTCAAATTTGCGTTGTATATAAAGTTAATGGATACAAAGATTTTGTAATTTACAGATTTTTAATACCATGCCCCTTTCGCCCCCAATTTGTAAAAAACGTATTTGAAGTACTAGAGACTTGTGCTTTGGAATGTACACACATTTTATACTATATGATCACGCTTTGAAAGTTTCATGAAAATAGTTTTACTACAAGAGAAATATTCAACTAATAGGTCTTATAATATAGCCCACGCTGCAGCGCAGCCCAAGCGCAGTCGCTGCTAACTGCGCAATCAGCAGAGCGCGTGATGTACGTGATATACGTGTATGCATGTGTGCATAAAAGAAGTGCAGAATGATTAGAATATCAGATTGGTGGGCTTAGGGTATCTCCTAGTCGAGCAGTCTCGACTGTTTCTTTTTCCTGCTATGCTTCTTTCTCTTTGCTCTCTTCCTTCTCTACTCTGCATTCATATGCATATTCTTTTCTCATCTCAACTATCGCCTGCTACCTATCTGCACTTTCATGCTTCATCTCTTTCCACTCCTCCCCGTTTTTACTCAACTGCACTTTGCTATATACTTTTTCGTCCCTGGTATCTCCACGCTCCTTTCAACCATCTCATTCCCCACTATCTATCTTCCCACTCTAACTTATTTCTATTATTTTATTCTATATTTATGT